CCTTCCACCCTTTAGCACAGAGCTTGGTGTTCCAAAGGCCACAAGGGGTTTTAGACCCTGGACCCCGGACATGTTCCAAGACTTTTACATTATGTCAGACATGGAAGCCCTGCCTCAGCTTCTCTCCCAACACTCAGCTTTTCTCCCAACAAGCTGGGCATTCACCTGTAGTCCCAGCTACTTGGGAGGCTGAGGTGGGAGGATCGCTGGAGCCTGGGAGGTCGAAGCAGCAGTGAGCTGTGATTGTGCCAGTGCACTCCAGCCTGGCTGACAGAGCCAGACCCTTTCTCAAAAAAAGAAGATGAAATAAAAATTAAATCTCCCGGCAAGCTGAAGCTCAAAGGCATTAGAGAAAAGCCCTGCCCCCCACCCCAGGCCCCTGCCCCCCAAAGTCTTTTGATCTTGTGAGCTGATGTTGGAAGAAACTGAAGTCCCCAATCACTCTCTCCAACCTCCTCTCTGCTCCCACTCAGCTAGATGCTCTTGATGGCTTGTGGGCCCAGAGGTCTGCAGTCTAAACCGCCATCCACAGGAATGGGTGCTGTTTATTCAGTGCCTCGGCAGTTGGGTTATTTAAATGCCAACTCACTGTCACTTTCCCCTTTAAAGAGTTCATAGGATGCACAGGAATATCTAGCCCCAGCCTTACAGCCACCAAATGTAGAAGACAAGCCAGTGTCCCTTCCCAGCCTTACAGCCACCAAATGTAGAAGACAAGCCAGTGTCCCTTCCCAGTAGAATTATGTTCCCAGAACTCAGTCCCACGTTGTCCCAAACCCTATCAGAATTGGTGATCTCTAACTGATATCTGGGTTGGGGGAGGCAGAAAGTCTGGGTAATTTTCAGAGCTGTGGTACCTGAGCTATTGCTGCTTTAGGATGTCTAGAAATTTGCAAAGGTAACAGCCACAGTTACTGAGGGGTCATTTGCAGCGCCTTTCTTTCAAAATGTTCAGTTTCTATTGGAATCTTCTTCCCTTTCCATTCCTCCCTCAGGGCCCTATGCCGAGGCAATCCTAGCCGGAAAGCTGCCTGCCGAAGGTGCCCCAAGGTCTCCCTGAGCAGGCACTCTCAGGGCGCTCCGTCATTCCCTGCTTGCCGGCCGCAGCCACTCTAGACTGCCAACCCCACGTCCACCACCACTGCCCTTTCCAGGTATACCAGTGCACAGGTCAATGCCACCTGGGCTTCTGGGCCAGCTGTCTCCCACAGTGTCCTTGGGTTTCTGCTGTTGGCCGGCTCAGTTCAGGAAGTCTCGGCAACTCCGGAACAGTCCCGCATGCTTCCCACTTGCAAGGCAAGATCCCTCGTAGGGCACCTCCCAAAGCCTGTTCCCTGGGTGCTGAGAACAATAGGGTTTCCATGGCCTGAGCCTCCATTATAAGCAGAAGAGCTCTGTTTCAGCAACTGTGGCTGAGATGAGATGGGTGCCCGAGAGGAGGAAGGGGGAAGAGCAAGGTGGAGGGGCTGGAAACGTGCCACTGTGCGATGTTGGGAGCCCCTTTGGGGATGGAGGCAGAGGCAGAAGCTACTGGAGTGGTTCGAGGGGGAGAGTGTGTGATTCTAAGCTCAGACAGGGCTGTTTGGGGGTCCTGTTTCCTGTTTTGTCGTTTCCAGTAAGAAGCCGAGCTGGCCCTCCAAGGACTGGAAGCTTCCGAGGCGTGGCAGTGGCATTGGCCTGTGCACTGGTATACCTGGAAAGGGCAGTGGTGGCAGACGCGGGGTTGGCAGCCTAGAGTGGCTGTGGCTGGCAGGCAGGGGAAAATGGAGCACCCTGACTGGGCTGGGCAGCGGTGACCTCGGTCCTGCTCTACTGAGAGGGTGACCGTGGTGCAGGCTGGACGTTGGGCTGCACCCCAGTTAGGAGTCATTGGGATGTGGCTACACTCACCTGGGGTGATGATGGGGTTAGGTGGAAGGTTAGGTCAGCTGAGTGGTAGCATTCTCGGGTTCTCTGACTCTGATTCCCCACCTCACTCCATGAAGATGACTCACTCACTTTGATGACTGTGGTTTTGCAGATTAAATGTGGAGGCCTTGAGAGCCCGAAGAATGTCCCCTCCGAGTTATTACAGAGAAGCACAGAATCCCAGTGCAGTTTGTGTGTGTGCGTGTGTATGGGGGGGGGGGCGGGGGAGCGGTGTCTCAAAGGCCACCAATCTCAAGCCCCGTTGCCCACTTTATGCATCTCTCTAGCAACGCGTGGGCACGGGACTCCACCCAAGCCAACCCTCTGCATTTCTGGCCTCTGGAGTCAGCCTGAGGTCCATTCACACGCTGGTAATTGCACAGCAGGGGCTGCCTTTTCAGCAGATCTGACTGAAGCAACATCGCCCAGACCTATGCCATCTCTAGGGTTGGCACATAAGACACAAGTGGTCGGGATTTGGGTTCCACTGGGAACCTGAGGAACTGAGTGACCTGGGGAAGTCACTCCCCTCAGTGGGTGAGTCCCAGTACGGTGGCTGGCCAGCGCCTTCCTGGCCTCTCCTGGGACTTCCCGAGTCCCGCCTTCGCCGCTATTTAAGGCAAGTTGCAGACCTTGGCGACTCCTCGAAGGACACTCCCTTTCTAAGAGCTGCCAGCAAATCCTTCTGAGGGCTGCTCCCCGTGGTCCAGACAGGCTGGAAAGCCACCGTCTGAGCTCCAGGAAGCCACTGGGCCCCGCCACTGTTCACCCGAGGATGGACTCTTCTCACTGATAGCAGACGGTTCTCAACGGAAGAGTCTCCCAGACGGGGCTGCTCTCCGGATTTCTGCCCCTCCCAGGTCACCCCAGGCCTCCTCTCCAGGAGTGCTCAGGGGAGTGAGAAAAGCCAGGTATGCCATGCTCTATGCCAGGATGCGCTCGGTGCCATGGGCTGTGGTAAAAAATAAACGCCAGAAGCCACTTCAACAGCAAGGTACTCAAAGTCTGATGAAATTATGATTTATTTTAGTTAGATTTTATTTTTGCTTATGTGTGTTATTACTTTCTGTTATTAATATTAGTCTACAATTAGTTAAATTAGAGCGCATTCATACTGTGGAATGCAGCAGCTACAAAGAATGAAGTAAGCCAGTAAGTGCTGACTGAAAACCGCTCCCAGACATTTCGTTAAGTGACAAATTAAATCACTACAATAAGGGTGGGAAGTTTGTAGACTATGATCCCATTGAATGTTTGCAGTGGGTGAGTGGGGTGTTTGTGCACATGCACGTGTGTGTATGTGTGTGTGCGTGCGTGTGTGGGAACCCGTGTGTGCGCGTGTGTGCGAGTGTGTGAGTGCGTGTTTGCGTGCATGGCACCGAGCACGGAAGAAAATGTCCCTGGCAGCTAAGAATGGTTCTCTCTGGAGAGTGGGGAAAGACAGAAGAAGCAGGAACCTTCACTCTGACTTTCACGTCTTACTTTTCAAGTGTTTGCACGACGTGTGACTTTTACCTTCCTTTTTGTGTCTTTCTGTGTTTTCAAGGTTAAGGGCTCAAAGGAAACAAAGCACGCCCCACGTCTCTGCAGCGCTGTCATGGGAGAAAAGAGTGGACATGATTTGATGTGGCAAAGCTACAGGCAAGAGCACGAGTCCAAGGAAGACAGACATGAACCCAGAAAGCAGGTTCTCGCCTACCCGCAGGGAGGGCCGGCCAGGGACCATGGAGGGACTGCGGGAGGCTGGGCTGGGTCGCAGGAGGGGGCTGGGCCCTCTCTGGAGGGAACCCCTGTCTGGAGGGAGGCCGGTCACCCTGCCCTCTGCCTGTCCTTCCAGCCTGGGCTCCTGTGACCACAGCGAGAGGAGATGCCAGAGGGGAAGCCCGAGCTGGGCTGGGCTCCGTCCGGACAGGGGACCTGGGGCAGAAGCCAGGGACGGGGGCAGGAGCAGGAGGTGGGTCATCCAGGGAAGAAGGTTTCCTGACCCTGTGTTCTAAGGCGAGGAGTGGGCACGTGGCCCTCTGGGGACCTGTCCGGCTCAAAGACTCCAGGTGCCCTTCAGGTGAGTGAAACAACCGAGTAATCCTCAGTGCAACGTGAAAGCGGCTGGAAAGCTGGAATCACAGTCACCACCTATGCTGAGCAAAACCACGATTAAAATGGGTTTTTGGCTTTTGCTGAACCCACTTTGCGCCTCAGTGGTCCCAGTAGAAATGGCTCCTGTAGTTGACAGCTCCACCGGCACTGGACTCTCCTTGATTCTTACTTTGCTGAATCTCGAGAATCTTTTAAGATTGCTGGGATGGAGGGACGCACGGGGAGAAATGGCAGGCGAAACACCAGGTCCTGCCAAGGGAAGGAGGAAACAAACGCCTCCCCGATAGACTCCAGGGAAACAGACCAGCCAAGGGTGTGGTCCCACACCGGGTGCTTGAGCCCCTGTTGTCCTGAGACCATTCCCCCCCTGACCCTCTCCTAACTCTGTCCCCGTCGCTCCCACTCGGCGACCTGGCTCGCCCTTTGCCCTCTGCTCTTCTCACTCTATGCCTGACCCCGCACTAACTGTAGAAAATGCAGAAATGAGAAACAGACATTCATTCAACAAACACTTATTCTTTTATATTATTTATTTATTTATTGAGAGATGGGGTCTGGCTCTGTCGCCCAGGCTGTAGTACAGTGGTACGACCATAGCTCACTGCAGCCTCCACCTCCTGGGCTCAAATGATCCTCCTGCCTCAGTCTCCTCAGTAGCTGGGACCACAGGCGCATGCCACCATGCCCGGCTAACTTAAAACAATTTTTTTTTGGTAGAGATGGGGTCTCACTCTGTTGTGCAGGCTGCTCTCGAACTCATGGCCTCAAACAATCCTTCTGCCTCAGCCTCCCAAAGTGCTGGGATTACAACCATCAGCCACCTTCAGGCCAGCCAACAAACATTTATTGACACTCCTAATCTGTGCCAGCCGTGGTTTGAGAGGCCCCATTAACACACTGTGCCTGCCGTCATGGAGCTCATAGGCTGTTGCAGTAGACAGAGAAGTAAACAAAGAATTACAGGGCTCAGAGATAAATCACCCAATCGACTGGGGATGCCAGAGAGGCAGCAGATCCGAGGTGGGTTGGGCCCCTTCCGCTCTAGTGTCCTGGGCTCTAGCGTCCTGTGCTCTAGCGTCCTGGGCTCTAGCATCCTGGGCTCTAGCGTCCTGGGCTCTAGCGTCCTGCTCACAGTCGGCTGCTGGAACCCTGGGAGTTTGGAGGTGGTAGTCAGGGAAGGACAAAGTGGCTGACGCACAAAGCCAGGAGTGTCCACACCCTACGGCAATTCCCTACAGCCCGGTGACTGTGTCTAAACCTACTTAGTACCTCGAGCTCAGCCCCCTGCCCCCGCCCCAGAAAAGTCTTGAAACCATAGAACAGCGCTGACAGAAAGACTGTCTTTAGCATCTGGGAAAAACAACTTCGTGTTTAGAATTTGCTCATCTGGGTTCATTTTGATAATAATTCAGCAGGTGAACTGATGTGGCATCCCATAAGCAGTTCTTCATTTTCAGTGAACAGAGAGCAGAATTCGAAAAGCTGGTGGAGTGAAACCCAGGGCTAAGCCTGGAAAAGAGGGTTGGAGGGCTGCGAGAGCTGGCTGCACTCCCATTCCTGGAAAGGGCTTCAGGGCTTCTCATGACTTGGAGAATTGCTGGAAAAACAAAACAAAACAAAACCTAAACCCTGTAACCCAGTTCTACAAGGCAGCCTGTAGGATTAACCGATTGCAGAAAAACCACACCTTAAGCTCTGAGTTTGTTATCTTGGGCTTCGGGGACCTGGCGGAACTGCAAATCTTCTTTTTTGGACTGTTTCTAATCATGCATCTTGTCACCCTGGCGGGGCACACAACTATTGTGCTCCTCACCCTCATTGACTCCTGCCTGCAGACCCCCATGTATTTCTTCCTCCGAAACCTGTCCACCGTTGAGATTTGCTGTACATTGGTTATTGTCCCCAACATGCTGGCCAATTTCCTGTCCAGGAACCAGTGGATGCCCTTTCTGGGCTGTGCCCTGCAAATGCACTTCTTCGTTGCCCTGGGCGGGGCAGAGTGCTTCTTCCTGGCCGTGATGGCCTACGACCGCTTTGTGGCCATCTGCAAGCCCCTTCACTACACACTCCTCATCACCAGGACCCTCTGCCTGCAGATGCTGGCTCTGGCGTGCATTGGCAGCTTTGCGCTCTCCCTCACATTGACCACGCTGATATTCCTCCTGCCCTTTTGTCAGTCCCACGAGATCAATCATTTCTTCTGTGACATCCCCGCCGTGCTCTTCCTGGCCCGCTCGGACACTCGAGCCAATGAGATTGCTGTCTTCCTCGTCTGCACGCTCATCCTCTTGATCCCCTTCCTGCTGATCCTGCTCTCCTACGGATTCATTATCGCGGCCGTCCTCAGAATCCGCTCGGCCGCGGGCAGGAGCAAGGCCTTCTCCACCTGCGCTGGGCACCTGTTGGTCTCGCTTCCTCACTATGGCTGTGCAGTCTTCATCTACATTCGCCCCAAGTCCTGCTACGCCCCCGACCAGGACAAAATTGTGTCCTTAATCTACACCAATGTCACCCCCATGCTCTACCCTATGATCTACAGTCTGAGGAACAAGGAAGTCAAGGGTGCCCTTGGGAGACTTCTGCACAGTCACAGTCCATGAAGCAGCAGCCCCATGCGAGTTGAAGGGGAAGGCAGAGCCCTCTGAGAACGGCCTGGCTCCCTTGCCAGAACCCAGCCGTCTCCCGATGCACCTGGCGGCCCCACCCCTCCCTTTGAGGGCTTCTCCGTGGTTCTGAGTGCACCTGGGACTCACTGCCCCCTTTGCTGTGGCCAGACAGACGGAAGGGATGCAAAGGTTTGCTGAGACGCAGCAGGTCTGGGGTGGACAGTTCCATCCAGCACCCACAGCAATGGCAGAGACGTGGACACTGACAGGCAGAAGGGCCTCAGATGGCCCAAATGAAACATTAAGCCAGCTGCTTCTGTGACCAAACAACCAGCAGGGCTAGAAACACAAGGAGTTCCCAGATCCAAACTAGGGAAGGCTTGGATGGAAAGGCAGAACCAGCCTGGAAACAGAATCCCTGCGTCACCAGAAAACGACATCATGATCACTTGAGACACGAGAGTGTAATCCGAGGCAGCAGCTCCAAGGGCGTGTCAGGCTCGGCCCCACTTCTGCTCCCAGTGCAGCTGACCCCTCCTCATCCTACCAATGTCGGTGAAAGGGCCACTTGTTCCCAGAAGCCCCATGGGTGGTCTGTCTCCCCGGCTGAGCTGGAGACTCCTCGAAGGGGAGAACCAGTTTCGAGGTCTCTGCCACCCCAGCCCCTGGCACATAATAGATGCGCCATAAGCGGTAATGGAACTGAACGGTGAGCCCCCCAAGTTTTGGCACAGGAATGGCTTCAGATCCCAGTTGCTAATGAAACAGAAAGTTTTCATATCCTGCCGGGCTGAGGCCTCTGTGACTCGGGGACAAAGGTCAGGTGTAATGATCTCAAGAATGTGTTTGCTGGCCCCACTCTCACTCCACAGGCTGGCCAAGTGGTAGGATCTCTGAGTTTCCCTCGACCATAACACTTAGCAGGGAAGACACACTTCTTTGTTTCTTTTAGAGGCAGGATCTCACTCTGTAGCCCAGGCTGGGGGGCAGTGATGTGATCACAGCTCACTGCAGCCTCAACCTCCCAGGCTCAAATGATCCTACCACCTCAGCCTCCAGAGCAGCTGGTACTACAGGTGTGTGCAACTGCTCCTGGATAATATTAATATTAATCTGTTGTGGTTTTTTTTGTTTTGAGGAGACGGGGGGAATCTCACTATGTTGCCCAGGCTTGTGTCCAACTCCTGGACTCAAGTGATCCTCCCACTTTGACCTCCCAAAGTGCTGGGATGACAGGCGTGAGCCACCACACCCGGCCAGGAAATATTTCTT